TAATAATAATAATAATAATAATAATAATAATAATAATAATAATAATAGTAATATACAAAATACTAATGCTCTGATGGTCATTTCGAAAAATCCTTTCTTAGTGATTACCTAGAAGCCAAAAGGAACATAAATGCTAAATTTCAAATTTGTAGGCTTTATGGTTCTGGAGATTTTGTGATGATGCATGAGTGGTATTTCGCTTTTATAGAGAGAGATTTTATTCAAAACAAAGAGAGATACCCATGATTAAAACTCACAGTCCACATATTTCCATACTTCTATGCCTGGCTGCAATCCTGAACTCACCTATCTGGAATTGTTCTCATTGGTAAATCTACTTCTCAACTCATGCCAGGAACTCAAGCCATTAACTTAATTAGATAAAGCTTCAATGATAGGAAAGTATTGGTATTTTATTGGCAGAAGGTGTAGGTTTAGTTAGGCATAGACATAACTGACTTTTAATTTGTTAAGGAAATCTAGGACTGTCTGTATTTATAATTAAGCAACAAGCCACTTCAGAGGTGTGAACATGTTGGAAATGTAATCAGACACTGCGCACATGTGTGTAGCAAAGAATTATTGGATAAAAATACATACACCGTTAGAAAAAAAATGTTAAAGCTGTGGGTGGGGCCAGCCGGTTGGTTCAACTACTAGTCCCACGAACCAGGTGTAAATCTGGAATAATGTCAGGTTTCCAGACGATGAAATCCATTTAAAAATAAAAGAGCCAAGTTTCATCTTTCAAAACGATTTCTTTTATTTAGGAAAGCATCAAAATTGGCAAAGTCCGTTGTAATTCTGCATCGGACACAATCCGGGATGATGCCGCGTAATGTTGGAAATTAGAAACAGCCCCCCAAAAGCCACATTCCCCAATCGAAGTAAATCAACGTTGCCCGGGGTCATCAATCTCCATCTTCTCCAGGTCTCAGCAGGGTCAGCTTTCGTTCCCACGGGAAGAAGAACCACCTAGCCTAAACAACTTTCTCTATCTCCACTCCTCCCACCTTAGGAATGCGGCAAGCCCGAAACCCTCCCCCGTATAACCGGCAAAGAGAAATAAAGAAAAGGAGTATATAATAAGGCTAAATAAAATGGCTACACATATGTCAATTTCAGGCTTTGACATTTAACACCCGGTTCATCCAAACCGGTCTGAACCGGTAGAATCCCACTCCTGGGTGTTTGCACAGTATTGGAAAAATGAGGAAATACAGAGAGAAGATTCTGTAATTTTTTTAAAAAAAATATTAGATTGCACAGAAATAGATAGACTGACGTTAAAGATAAAAGAAAAGGAAGATACCGGGTATTTTCAAATATAGGATTTGGATAATAGAGGCAGAAATTAGGAGCTGGGAAATCTTTTATTATGTAAGCATTCAACCCACACAGTACAGTTTTTACTAAGCACTTATGTATGTTAAATGAAAATGCACAGATAAACTATTTTTTAAAAAGAGGTTTGAAAACAGGATGGGTTACAGAGAAACCAGGAGGACAAAAATAAGACAGCTGCCCTTGCATTGTGCCAACTGCTATACAGGTACTCCTCGACTTATGACCATTCATTTAGTGACTGTTCAAAGTTACAACAGTGAGCAAAAGTGATCATTTTTCACACTTATGACCGTGGCAGCCTTCCCGTGGTTGCAGGATCAAAACTTAGACCCTTGGCAACTGACTTGTATTTATGACGGTTGCACTATCCCAGCATCTTGTGGCAACCTTCCGACAGGCAAAGTCAGTGGGGGAAGCCAGATTCACTTAACAACCGTGTGACTGACTTAACGACTGCAGTGATTCACTTAACAACCATGGCAAGAAAGGTGGTAAAATGAGGCAAAACCACTTAAACTGTCTTGCTTAGCAATGGGAATTTGGGCCTCGATTGTGGTCGTAAGTCCAGGACCACCTGTATTTTCCACTAGCTCTTACAATTTAATCAACTTTCGCTTGCATCTTTCTAACACCCAAAGGTGCTTTATTTATTTTTTTCAAGAGGCAACTGGACTTTTTTCTTTGAAGGGATTTTGCTTCTATTCCGAGAAGCTTCTTCAGTTCTTTAGAGCAAAGGAGATCAGTTCTTCAGAACTGAAGAAGCTTCTTGGATGAGAAGCAAAACCTCTTCAAAGAAAAAAAACAACCAGAAAGTCCAATTGCTTTTTGAAAAAAACGCACCTGGATGATGGAGAACCTCCATAGACATTTTTGTAACACATTGTTGTATCCATTAACACAATATAGAAAGTTGAAGCTCCCTTCTTACTGTATGGCTTAAATTCTTCCAGAGAAAGGAACAATTTAAGTCCCCTGTTTAAATGCTGACACTGTTCTCCATCTCAGCGGGATCGAGATATTTGTAAGCTATGAGAAGAGATGCGTCCTGTTTGGTGAGGGGCTCCTTCTTGACGAGCGATTTATTCCTCTTCTTAATTTCATTGGAAATCTTGTGTAGGTGGGCTTGGAAGGTTGTGATGAGTTTGAGGGGCGCCTTCTCGGTGAAATGATGGTCGGGATACTGACCCAAGGGAATCTGGGAGAAGGGAAGGGGAAGGAGGAGAATGGGAGGGGAAAGGAAAGGAAAAGGAGAAGGGATGGGGGAGGAGAAGGAAGATGAAAAAGAAAAGAAGGACAGAGAGGGAGAAGATGGAGAAGGAAACGGAGATGGGATGGAGGAGGAGGAGAAAAGGAGGAGGAAGGAAGAGGAGGAGAAGGGAAGGGAAAATGAGAAGGAGAAGGTATGAGGAAGAGAAGGAAGATGAAAAAGAAAAGAAGGACGGAGAGGGAGAAGATGGAGAAGAAAACGGAGATGGGATGGAGGAGGAGGTGAAAAGGAGGAGGAAGGAAGAGGAGGAGAAGGGAAGGGAAAATGAAAAGAAGAAGGGATGAGGAAGAGAAGGAAGATGAAAAAGAAAAGAAGGGATGGAGAGGGACAAGATGGAGAAGGAAATGGAGATGGGGTGGAGGAGGAGGAGAAAAGGGAGAAGGAGGAGGAGGAGGAGGAGGAGGAGGAGGAGGAGGAGGAGGAGAAAGAAAAGAAGAAGGTATGGAGAGAAGAAATAGGAGATGGGTGGAGACGGAGGAAGAGGAGAAGAAAGAGAAGGAGAAGGAGATGGGATGGAGAAGGAGGAAGAGAAAGAAAAGAAGAAGGGATGGAGGAGGAAAAAAGTGGTGGAGAAGGAGGAAGAGGAGAAAAAGAAGGAGGAGAAGGAGGAGATGGAGAAGGAAAAGGAGAAGGGATGGAGAAGGAGAAGGAGAAAGAGAAAGAAAGGAAGAGATGGGGAAAAATGGAGAAGGAGAAGAAGTTGGATGGAGGAAGAGGAGAAAAAGAAAAAAGGGGAAGAAGGAGATGGGATGGAGAAGGAGCAGGAGGAGCAGGAAAGGAGAAGGGAGAAGATAGGTGAGAGGGGGAAGAAGGAAAAGGAGAAGATAGACAAGGAGGAGGAAAAGTGGACAGAGAAGGTTGGAGGTATAGATAGATGAGGAGAAGCCGGCGCAATGTCCTATGACGCTCTTGGGAGCTGCGTCATGGGACAATAGGAGGAGGAGGAGGAGGAGGAGGAGGAGGAGAGGAAGAAATCAATCACCTAATGAAGTTCTTTCCTTGAGCCACCCAAAAGGCCATTCAGGCCATGGAGACCACCTCCAAAATAAAGTATCTCAGACAGGTGGTTTACCACCTTCCTTCACTTCCATGGTCCATCTACTCTTATTATTGTGTCATTTTTTTTCCAGACGTTCCTATAACTTGGATCCATATATTCCATATTCTAGAATGAAACTTCAAGACAGCTGTTATTATTTCCCCTCCCAACATCCCCTCCCCCATGTCTTCCTAACCCAACTCCACATTAGACTCATGGCCATTATCAACGTGTCATCTACTTTTGAAGAGCCCATTACCTTTCCTCCCCTATATCACTTCGCTTATAACCAGGGGTGGGACTGCTACCGGCTCTCCCCAGTTTGGGTGAAGCAGATCCAAACCAGTAGCTAATTTTATGGCCGGTTCAGAGAACCGGCAAATTCCCACTCCTGGCTGGCCCTGCCCACCCTACCCTGTCCCTTCCAGGAATTCCCACGTGGCCCATTTTGGATGCCAGATAAGTGCAGGGCCCACGCGGAGGTTCAAGGAGGGTGAAAAATGGGCCACCTGGAAATTCCAGAAGGCTGGAAATGGGCTGATTTCCGGGCTCCAGAATCCCAGGGAGGCCGTTTTCACCCTGCCAGAGGTTCAAGGAAAGCGTGCAGAGCGTGGGGAGAGTGAAAATGCCCCCTCCCTGCCATGGTGCAGGAGGCTGACTAGGCCACGCCCACCATGGCAACCAGCCCACCCAGCAACCAGGCAGAGAACCGGTTGCTTAAATTTCTGAAGACCACCCCTGCTTATAACATCACCAAACCTGGCCACTTTAAGACTTAATGGACTTCCACTCCCAGAATTCCACAAGTCTTAAAGTGACCAGGTTTGAAAACCCCCAGGTTATAGACCTTACTTCCTGCTCTTCGTTACCAACGCTTCTTCCAAGAAAACGTGGTGAGCAACCTTGAAGACCAGTCAACCTTGCAAAGCAGAAGGTCTACAAGGTCGGGGGCGAAACTCCAGGTTCCTCAGAATTCATTTTGTGTTGTGTTCCTAATAGTAGCTGTTAGGAATATAAGTCACCTGGAGTTCCGGTTTGTCACGCTTCGGAGGCAGCAGGAATTCGCGTTTGTGCGCGATCCCTGCTGCGCTCGCTGCTGGAGTGCCTTCGATCCAATTGGATTGGGAGGCTATAGTTATCCTGTAGGGATAACTGAAGAGAGGGGAGATCCGGGCAGGGGTCGGGGGATATCGCACCCCCCTTCCCCAGCTGGCTTAACTCCCTTTTCCAAAGGTGGTGGAGCGGTGGTCAGCAAGGGCCGTCACAAAGAACCTCTCAGCCAGACAAGTTTTGTGCAGGAGGAAGTGAAGAAAGAGAAGGCTTTTGGCTGAACCGGGACGACAATTAACATCTGAATACCCTGGAACTTTGGCTCCTTAGGAATATAAGTCACCTAACAGGTATTTGGGTTAGAAATATATAAACCAAAATAAACATTTTAGTACTATGTCTTTAAGAGATTGCAAAAACTGCAATTGGGTGTGGTTTTTCAAATGGCCATAAGATGGAGCCGGAAACCTGGATTGTTTTAGTCTTAGTCTCAGAAGAGAGTGTGTCTGAGTGAGTATCTCTGTTTCCTTCTGTTGGAAAGTATTGCCCTTGCTCCATTTCTTCTAATTGACTGATATTACTGGATTTAATGTAAGTCTGATACTGAACTGTTTTTTGACACTGGACTTGACTATTGGATTATCCCTGGATTGAAAACTGACTGATTTACCTGTGAATGACTTTTGGACTGCTTATTTTGGACTTTGCTTAAACCTTTCTGGAAGTAAAAACCTACATTTACTGTACAGTGTATCTGTGTGCTGTGTGTGTATTATTCAGACACTTCTCTCAAATACGTCTCCCTGTATGCGCTCGTTCTCCTAACGGGGAATTACCTCAACAGTAGCCTCAAAACGTAGCTGCTCAGCCCTTAGACACGTAGATAGAAGGGGACCCAACCCTCCCATCAGATTCCCATTTATCCTCTTCATGATGGATTCTGCTGGCCATCAGGGCGATCTCGCCTGATTGGACGGGCACCAAATGTTGAGTGAGATAGACGGTTGGGTCCACCAGTTTCCTAGCTGTCCTGAGTGTTTAGTCTTTATCTTGTCATTGTCATTCAGGTAGACTTCCAAGATCTTCTTAGAAGACCTTCTTAGTCGTCTTCTTAGAGGACCGTGGCCCAGCCTACCTGGAGCCATTGCCCTAAGAGTCCTTTAGCAAGGTGTTCCACCACTCTGGATGTCAACCCCATGAAGCACCAGGGAAGGTGGGCCTTGCTGCTTTCAGGCCAATGTCATCTTGAGATCAGTAGGGCGGTTGCACTCACCATGTCTCCTGTTGGAGCACTGAGAAGCCACAGGACGCTGATGATGTTAGCCGTTGTGTTGATTTCTGGAATGGTCTCCTTATAGCTCTTCAGACTCGCCTGCCCCTTGGTTTTGGGAGGGGGCTTCCTCATGGCGGAAGGGAAATTCGGCATCCAGGCACCAAAATCAAACTGCAATTCAACATTCCAAGAATTAACCCCCTGTCGGACCTGCCACAACTTCACGGATGTGAATCAAGGATGTCAAACTCAAGGCCTGCAGGCGGGATTCGGCCCTCCAGGGGGTTTAGATCCGGCCCACGGGCCCACTCTGGAAACAGTGAAGGACTGGCCCGTGGTGCCTCTGCCAGCGAAGGCGGAGCTCGGGAGGGCCATGCGTGGCAATTTTGGCCACGATGATCTCCTGTGGTCCTCTGTCAGCATCTCCCCCTTCCACCAGCTCCGTTTTATCCGGCAGAGGGCTAGCAAAACATATTAAAATCAAAGCAAAAGGAGAAATGTTTCCCCTTTTGCATTTGAGCATGGAAGAAGGGGCAGGAAAGGAGAAAGGGAAAGAGGAAAGACAAAGAAACAGATGGGAAGATGGGAAGAGAGCGAGGAAGGAAAGAGAAGGAAAGAGGAGAAGGGAGAAGAAAGGAGAAAGAAGAAGGAAAGAAGGAAGGGAGGGAGGAGATTATAATGAGATGGAAGGAGGGTCTGAGGGAAATCCTGCCTTAGCAAAACATCACTCATGCCAGCTCAACGTCATTCATGTTGGGGGCACCTCTGGTGGTCGAGGTGCCCCCAACACGAGTGATGTTGAGCTGACCACACCCACCCCAGCCACGCCCACTCCAGCTGCCCCGAGATCAAACACAACCCTAATGTGGCCCTCAATGAACCCGAGTTTGACACCCCTGCTCTAAATAAAAACGATGCTTGACTCCAATGGTTGAGAAAGGTATAGTTTGATTAGAGGCCAAGTGTATTGCACTAAGTAGTGAAAAGCCAGAACTGAATATTACGTGCCCAAATCCCTAAGTTTTACTCGCCCCCGCTTAACTGTCTCTCACTGCCCATACCCCAGTGTCACCAATCAGGTTCAGTGTCAAGGCCTGCCTCCATTCAAAACTCAAGAAAGAAAAACCCTCAACTCCGTTGATTTAGGGAAGATTGGTATGCGACCTCCTTTTTCTTCCCACTGTGTGACCTTGAGGCAGCATCTCAAGGAGATACAGTTGCTTACTTTAGCTTCCCCAAGCATTCCCCACTTTCTCTCTCCTCCCAAAGTTCACGGCAGTCTGTCACTGCAGAGCAGCCAAGTACAAGCAAGCATAAGGTGGGAGCTAACAACCCCACCAAAGGGGCCCTACTAGGTTACACCCCACATCCTAGTCCTCACACTAATGCCTTCCTACTACATGATTCTGGTTTCCCATCACCTTCTTGTGTTGTTTTTTTCCCAGGCAGGAAACTCAATTAGGTGCACCAATTCTACGTTACCTTAACCAAATCTTGTATCTGTAACTTAACCGCAGGGATCCACTTATCAACAATGGCAAGAAAAGTCGTAAAATGGGGCAAAGCTCACTGTCTCACTTAGCAATGGAAATGCTGGTGGCTCAATTGTAGTGGTCCTCGACGTACAGCCACCCTTGGGCCCAACATTTCCACCGCTAAGCGAGCGCAGTGAGCTTTGATCCTTTTTTGCAACCTTTTTTTTTTGCCGACGTTCATAAGGGAATCGCTGCGGTTGTTAAATGAGTCACCTGGTTGTTAAGTGAAGCTGATTTCCCCATCGACTTTGCTCATCAAACGATCACAAAAGGGGATCACGTAACCCAGGGACACCGCAACCGTCATAAATAGGAGTCAGCTGTCAAGCATCTGAATATGGATCGTGGGACAGCGGGGAATGTTGTGGTCATAAGTGTGAAAAATAGTCACGCATCAGATTTTTTTAGTGCTGTTGCAACTTTGAACGGTCACTAAATGAATTGCTATAAGTCAAAGATTACCTGTACAAATTTCCTATCTTCCCTCTATCCATTAAGCCAATTTGAGCTTCTGTCCCTAACCAAATATCAGAATTGGAAGGGACCTTGGACCGTAAGTTTCAAGATCAGCCAACGATGGTTCAGTGTTGCCCCCCTAGTGGGGGCTATTGAGTATGGCCATATACATGGATGAGTCCTAACGTGTTTCCCCGAAAATAAGACCCTGTACTTTTTTTTTGCCACCAAAAAAGGCACCAGGTCTTATTTTGGGGGGGATTTCATCCACTGACTAATCTCATTTGTGCATGTCACTCCTGGCCTCCTTTTCGCCGTCAGAGGCCTTCAAGGAGCTTCTTCTTCTGCGCCCAGCAAGGCTTTCCTGAAGGCCTTTGCAACAGATAACAGAGCTCCCCTTCTTCAGCAAGGAGCTAGACTAGAAGACCTCCAAGGTCTCTTCTAGGTGCACCCTGATTGATTGTGTTCAGCTACTCGCCGATATATGCGCTCCTACCTGTCCAGTGTTCACAGCAGCGTGCTGGGCTGAGCAGGTATAAATCACCATGGTGATGAATTTTTTCACTTCTTCCACAGTACTGAATGAAGAAGGGATGCCTGGGAAGGAAAAGAAAAATATGCATCGGTTATTAATAACAATCATTTCTAAGCAGTGGTGGGGTTCAGCCGGTTCGCAGCAAGTGCAAGAGAACCAGTTGTTAACTTGTTGAGCAGTTGGGTGGGCAGGTTGTTGGGGAAAAAAATAATAAGGGCAGAGAAAACTGATTGTTGGATGATTGGAATCCCACCACCGTCCATAAAGTATATAAGGACAGTTAAAAACAGAGGTGTTTACAAACGTGCAACTATTCAGAACTCATATTGCCATCAGAAGTTCACGAGTAAAACCTGGTCCTTACCAGAAGACGTGAGGGCCAGGAAACCTTTCTGAAAAATCTCGTAGATCCAGCCCTGCAGCTCATGATCTTTCCGGACGGAGTCGTCTGCCTTATAATATAAATCAACCACGCTGGAGACAAAGCTGAAAAGGGGAATCAAAGAGGAAAGGTGAATTCTGCAGGGATCTCTCCTGCTTGGTCAGAGGGTTGGACTGGATGACCTACAAGGTCCCTTCCAACTCTATTAATCTGAATCTATCTCTCCTCCCTTCTTGGCTTACAGGAAAGGAATTAGGAAATGTCATCAGTGCAATAAGGCAGTGTGGTTTGTGAAGGGAAGGAATGAGAAGGGGAAGAGGAGGGGGAAAGAGGTGACGGTGGGTCTTCGGTGCTCTCTGAACTGGGTTGTTTTCTTGCAAGACATTTCATGACCCAACTAGGGAACATCATGAGTGCTAGAAGGGAGGGGGATTTGTGGAGTAGAGAAATGGAGGAAAAGGAGGAGGAGGAGGAGAAGGAGAAAGAGAAAGAGAAGGAAAAGAAGGGGAAGGTATACTGTGTGGTCCTTAGTGCTCTCTGAGCCGGCTTGTTTTCTAGAAGACATTTTATGACCCAAGTAGGGAACGTCATCAGTGCTAGAAGGGCATGTGGCTTGTGGAGAGGAAGAATGAGAAGGGGAGGAAGAGAAGGAGGAGAAGGAATTGGTGGAGGAAAAGTTGTTTCACCTCCTCACCAGCAATCAACACTCAGATAATTAGAGATTGATGCCAAGATTAATTCTAGACCGATCAAGCAGTAGACAATACCCTAAACAAGGAATTATAGACAATATCCCAAACAAGGAATTATAGACAATATCCCAAACAAGGAATTATAGACAATATCCCAAACAAGGAACTACCAACTCAAACTAATTAACACTAAACAACATCTTAACCAAGGAAATGCCCACTAAATTGACAGGGCAAGCCATTGTATATAAACAAGAGGAAACCTCATTCCCTTCTAGAACTGATGATGTTACCTAGTTGGGTTATGAAACATCTGCAAGAAAACAACCAGCTCAGAGAGCAAAAGACTCCATAATCCTCCTCCTGCTATCCTCCCCCTCTTCTTCTTCCTCATCCTCTTCTCTTTCTCCTCTATTCTGCAAACCCGATCTCAACAGTAACCTTCAGACAACGAGATAAAGCTTCAATTCTCAGAGCTGCAAGACTCCTGAGTAATAGACTTAGAAGACCAGGGAATCATCCTGGACTGACCTCTCTATAGCTGCCCAGATCTTCAGACCATCATCTCTGTAGTGGTAGTTAGGCAAGGAAGACATTCCACGAGCCTTGATGTCTTCTGGGAGACAAAGGGAGGAATATGTGATGGACGCCATTCCCTTCCGCAACAGCTGGACCAAACCCTCAAACCCAGTGCCAGTTGCCTAGAAGGAGAAGAAGAAGAAGGAGCCCCAGTTGTCAGATGGACATCCCATGGACATCCTCAAGACATCAAACCCAGTGCCAGTTGCCTAGAAGGAGAACAAGAAGAAGGAGCCCCAATTGTCAGATGGACATCCCATGGACATCCTCAAGAGATCAAACCCAGTGCCAGTTGCCTAGAAGGAGAACAGGAAGAGGG